ATCGCGATCATGAAGCGTCGCGGCATTCCGCCGAAGATAGTGAGGTGGGTCGAGGCCTTCTTGCAGGACAGGAAGGCAAAGTTCCGGGTAGAGGGAAAATACGGCGAAGAGGTGACACTCGAAAGTGGAGTCCCCCAGGGAACTGTGCTCGGACCAGTGTTATTCCTCTTGTACATCGACGACCTCGGCGAAAAGCTGTCCACGATGCCGAAACCAACACGCACCAATCCAAATAGCGTGACCCCATCTCTATTCGCCGACGACGTGGGGGTAGTAGTGGCTGGTCGCTCGGCGGCAGGGTTCAAAGAAACAGTCCAACGAGTGGTAAACGCACTCTCAACCTGGGCCTCCGAGGCGAAGATGGACCTGGCGTACAAGAAGACGGAGGCTGTTCAATTCCGCCCGATCGACAAGTCTGGCAACCGACCCGCGAACATGCGAAGGAGGGTCCACCCACCTCTGATCACCTTCCCGAACTCGCACCAAAAAGTCACTGAGGCACCAACCGAATTCGGCAGGAAGGCACACGAGCAAGATGGGGCGCTCCGCTACATCGATCCATCCAGCCCACACAACAAGAAGAGGATAGTGTCAATCGGCGGAGTGCCAACGACAACGCAACCGCAATGGAGACGAAATATCCATCGAATCGGGGAGACGGCCCAAAACCCCATAGAGTTCACGGTGGTGTCAGACCTTCAGTGGAAGGACAAGGTAACACTCCTGGGGCTGACGATCGACGACAGACTGAACTTCACAGCTCACATAGATCGCATACTGCAGAGCGCTGGGCGGAGGGTAAATCTGGTACAGCTGGTATCCGGGACGAAGTGGGGCCACAAGACCGAAGTGCTCAGAGCCCTCTACATGGCATACGCCCTGCCGGTCTTAACCTACGGCATGGCAGTCTACATCCGTTATGCATCGAAGAAGGACGTGGACAGGATAGAGTGCCTGCATCGAACCGCACTCTGCGCCGTGGTTGGCTGCAAGAAGACGACGTTGACGGAAGCTGTCCTCACCGAGGCACGAATGCTGCCAATCAGGTCGATAACCGACCTCAGGACAGGCGCGCTGGCGGAAAAGATGGCCACGAAGACCATGTGGAAGGACGTGCTGCATCCGCGACGAACCAACGACACCCTCCCGCAGTCCTTCCTCATCCTCAAGAAGACGGCGCGAACATCGAAGCCACGGCGGGAGAAGCACGCACCAAATCCCTTCCCACCTTGGAAGCCGCCACCAGAGCTCCACATCTGCGCTTCACTTCCAAAGAAGTCGAAAAGCGCCGAGGAAAACCGGAGAAAGGCAGAGGCAGTCCTCGACGGATTGCCATCCCCGACATACATCGTCTGGACGGACGGATCGGTTGCGGCGCTGAAGAGAAGACACGCACAGTACCAGCTGCTCCACGGTACAACCGTAACAACCGACGAGGTCACGAGGTGGGGTGGCGCAGGTCTCGTGGTGTACTACCGCCGAGAAGAAAGCTGGAGAGACGCGACGCCGATGAAAGGGACCCGCCTAAGCCGTCAGGCCGGTAAGTGGGCAACCAGCTACCGCGCGGAGCAAGTGGCGATGAAAATTGCGCTGGAATCGCTGGAGCTAAAACTGGGAAAGAGGGAGGTACTCGAAGGAGAGCCTACCAGCAGACACATCTGGGTGCTCAGCGACTCCAGCTCCCTTCTGAACGTGCTGTCCCAAGGTCCGCACAAACAGCAAGAACGGGACAACGTCCGAATCTGGCAGGCGCTCGAGAAACTGGTTGCGAAGGGGTATACCACCCATTCCACGAAAAAGTGTCACAGATTTCGGCTTTTTTCGGATTTCTGCCGAAAATTTCCATCTGCAGGTCCGAAAATGGTCGGTTTCGAGATTTTGAGGACACGTTTGAATCCGTTGAGGACAGGGCTTTCCGAATATTTGGTCGGATAAAAATTTTGACCGACCCCCCCCCCGGAAATGGAGGTCGGCACCCGAAAAAATGGGGTCCTGGAGATCGGTTTTTTTTCTCTCTGCATCCAGGAGGGGGTCAGATTTTGATCGCTGGGCTAGCTGGCAGCTTGCCCATAATCGCGCATCCCAGAACTACTCGAAAACCAAAAGATTTCCCAAAAAGACCTCGAAAATCATTTCCAGACGGCTGCTTTTCACACCGAAAAATCGCAAAAAAAAAAAATCGGACCGGGGGAATCGAACCATGGCCTACAGGGGCCCAGGAGGGTGCGGTAACCGTTAGGCTATGTTGCCAAACCTCGGGCGAAAATTCGCTTTTAGAGCCTGCTCAGTTGGAATTCTTATCGGAAAGTGCGAGATCGTCATTTACTCCCAGGACGGTATTTCTGCTCTCTCAGAGCTTATTTCGCCCGGTTTGCGAAGAACTCAAAATGAGTTCAAAAATTCTCACTCGGTAGTGAACAAAAGAATTTTCCGCCGTTTTTTTAGCCCATGGTCCAGAGGTTACCACACCCACACAGGGGTTTGAGGGTCGGTGGTTCGATTCCCGCCGGAAATCGTTTTTTTGGGTTTTTGAAACAGCCCCAAAACCGACCTTTTGTCCATCTGCACGCCAGATTTTGGTCGCCACGCGAGCTGATTGCTTGCCCATAATCGCCAGGGATAGCTCTTTCCATCCCAAAAAAAATTTCCCAAAAATTCCAAAATTTTGACCCAAAACGGGCTGCTTTTCAGACGGAAAATCTGTGACACTTTTTCGTGGAATGGGTGATACACCAGTACTCCAGTTCGTCTACGGCCACTGCGGACTAGCAGGGAACGAAGAGGCGGACGGGCTAGCGAAGCAGGGCGTCTCGCAGACCGGAGAAGAAACGCAGCCGCCGATGACGGTAGGAACCGCGAAGGCCCGGTACCGCGAGCACGCCTGGGAGGCACTACACGCGGCTTCACGTACCAACCGGGCGGGCCGCTGCCGTACACGCAGTTGGTCCGAGGACGGAAGGTCCCAAAAACGGCACACCTGACGAGGCGAGCCGAGCGCGAGATCCGCCAGCTTCGCACGGGACACCACCAACTCCTCAGGAACTGCTACCGGGACGACTGGATGGATCTCGCAGCAGAAGAGAGGCAAGCAACCCGCCCATGCCAGCTTTGCGACGCCACGCCGATCTGCCCCCTAACACACCTTTTCCTGGAATGCAGAATCGGGGGCGACGAGAGAGCGACCATGTGGAGACGGGTCCACAAAGCCATCCCGGACACACCAAGGGAAAAGCCGACACCCAGGGAAAGGCACAAGCTGCTTTGGCCGCTGCTCTTCGAGCTCCCTGAAGCAGCCCTCGCGTACCTTCAGGCCGTGGGGCTTGTGCCGAAGTACGAGGTCTACGAAGACCCACCTGAGCCCGGCACACCGGAACTCGACGGCAACATGGCGGCAGCAGCTACCAATGGCGTCGACAACACCTTCGACCTCGAGGGATCAAGCTCCGAGGATGCCGAAGGATGGGCATAATTCGGGCCGGGTCGGAAGACTGAGGCGGCAACACACCCGGCACATCCGTGCAAAGCAACCTCACCCGACCGCCGGTGCAGGCGCAACAGGGCTGCTGAGTGCGAAGCGCGAATCAGTACGCTGACGGCGCAGTCCAACACCAGACGCACACACCCGGCACTACACAGTCCCCACGGCCACCGACCAACCGCCGCAAGGCGGCAGCAGTAAACCGGCAGCACGACAACGGAGACGCAGGCGCCGACGAACAGCCGAAGCCCGCACGCCGACACGGACGCAGCCGGTCACCGGACCGAACAGCACCTGAGAACAATAAGAAAAGAGAGGGGAAAGAAAAGAAGGCAAACAAAAGTACCACCGCAGCAGCGCAACAGCGCCGCGACCGAACACGACTACCAACGAAGGGTAGACTCGGTGCACCGACAGCACACCCACCTGACCATAGGAAGGTCCAAAAGGGTGGAGTGAGCACTGGAGCGGTCACTGAGGCAGATAGGTAGCTGCAACACAAGAACAGTGCATTAGCAACCAAAACAAAAAAAGACAACCCTCCGGGCCGAGAGCGGACAATGAGCACGGGATAGAACAGCGTCAGAAACACCAGCCCGGTGTTTCCGACTGCCGGAGACGACCTGGCCAACGGACCGCACCACGCAGAGTGAGCACAGGAGCGGTCACTGAGGCAGACAGGTAGCTGCAACACAAGAACAGTGCATTAGCAACCAAAACAAAAAAAAGACAACCCTCCGGGCCGAGAGCGGACAATGAGCACGGGATAGAACAGCGTCGGAAACACCAGCCCAGTGTTTCTGACGCTGCCGGAAGCGAACAGGCCAACGGACCGCACCACGCAACAGCGCCGCAAAGCGAAACAGAGACAAGCAGCAAGCTCAAAGGCCCCGGAAGGAAGAACAAAGTAGAGGCAGGCGAAGCGCCCAACGGACCGCACCACGCAACAGCGCCGCAAAGCGAAACAGAGACAAGCAGCAACCAAACCAGCCCCCCCCGACCGAAGCGGAGGACCGACTCAACAGGCAAACCTGGCACGCCAGGGTTACCAAAAGACGTCAGAACACCGCACCGGAAAGGGAGGGCGAGCGAAGGACGAAGCCACAACAAAACCAAGGAAAAACAACCATCACTGCACACAACACGCAGAGCCAAGCAGCATGTCAGCAGCGAACCAAAGCAAACCCTTGACAAATTACTATCACAGGCAACTGACAGCGCGACAATCGCCGGAAACACACCGACCGCGACTGGTAAAGCCTGGCACGCCAGGACATCATTACCAAAACAGCGGCAAGAAACAAGGGGAGGGCGGGCAAGAAACAATCCCACTGAACCCCCCCACAACCATACCAAGAACGAACGAAAGGAAACAGAAAACAAACAAACGCCCCAAGGATGAAGAGAAGGCACAAGGAACCTTAGCACCGTATCCCCAAGCCTAACCCGGGTGCGGTTTCCAAATTTTTGAAATTGAAATTGAATTGAAATTGAAATTGAATTGCGTTTTTTTTGTTTTGTCAGCAGAGTGGCGCAGTGGTCAGCGCGGTGGGCTCATAACCCACAGGTCGTAGGATCGAAACCTACCTCTGCTACTTTTTTTGATCTGTTCGGGTTTTCACAAAAGGGACGTGCAGTAGATACCTCACCTTTGAAAGCATCAATCTGTTGCCCCCTTTGCTCCTGCTTACTCCCAAAGATGGTATAATACAAGGGTCAAATAATTAAATACAAATTCAATGATAAAATACCACCCATTCCACGAAAAAGTGTCACAGATTTTCCGTCTGAAAAGCAGCCCGTTTTGGGTCAAAATTTTGGAATTTTTGGGAATTTTTTTTTGGGCTGGCGATTATGAGCAAGAAACTCATGGCCAAGGGGAGACAGCAGGAGGACAGCAACAACCCAGCAAACGGCAGAGCATTTCACAATTACGACAGCTCTTCTACTCGGTGTGCAAGCCACTTTGCTTGCTTGCTTGCAAAGTGCGCAGTGCGCGGCCGTTGAGCGCAACTACACGGCAGCAGGCATAGTACTGCAGGAGCACACTGACAGTGTGACTGACTCCCTGTACCCAACAGCTGTCACTGAGTGGCACTGTTACACTTGTTGCAATCAATGTCCGAAAGAGTTCAAGAAGGAGCCAAGAAAAGTATCCGAGAAAAGTAGCGGGCAATCTCTCACACGTCTTGGAAATTCCTCGCGGGCTCCTGTAGCACCCCAGCCAGGGAAATGGCTTCTGGTGGCTGACTTGCCGACAATACCAGTCCCAGCCTGCCGGGCAGCCTGGTTGCGCACCCTGGGGTACCATTGGTAAACGGTTTACTAAAACTCTACTGCTACTAAAGTAGTAGTAGGCATTATGCACACAGAATCGTGCATAATTCAGGTTGGCGAGAGTGACAGACCCGTTCTACTTGCAAAGCGCTTACCATTTCTGTCCTAAAACCCTCTGAGAGGGCCTCTCAACCAGCGACCGGCGCTCTCCGAGCCTCTTGAATGACCCCAGAGGAGGAGTGGGAGAGAGCGGCAAGTACCGCCGCAGCCAATCAGATTTAAATGATGCTAGAAAGCTGCAAAGAAAAGTGTCAGCCGTCTGATAATAGTCAGGAGCTGGCTCTTCAGGAGCTTGAGCTCCCTGCCGCGGGCCTGATGCCGAGCCCAGGGTCAAGCAGCTCACCAAAATGCTGGCCCAAAAACCTGTCAAAATCATCAGAAAATGTGTTTCAGATGCATTTTCTGGCCGAAAAAGCTAGTTCCACGCGGTTTTCCGTGATACCAATTTTTTGCATAATTAGCCACAAAGGTAGCCGCCACAATGTGGCAACCTTGTGGCTGACAGCTATGCACTACGGTGAGAAAGTCCTAAGGGACCCGGGGTGTGTTGAGGCGGTTCGTTTCTACAACCCGGTCTTGCTCGCCCACTTTTACACCGCTCGGACCCGAGTGGGATGACCGGTATCTTCCTTGCTCCGGCTCCCCTCGTCGTCAGAAGTTTTGTTTTTCTTTTTGTTTTGGTTGCGGTCCCTGGCCTGCCGGGGCCGACGCGGTGAAGGGTGAATCCCACTAGACATGTGAGGTGAGCGGCCCCGACGGCCAGCATTCGCAAGCTGTTGCGCCCGCCAGTGCTTAGAGTGTCGGACAACTGTCGAGGTTGTTGCCGCCGCGCAAGCCGCCACCGTTTGGCCACGGCTCGCACGCGCAGCCTCGCAGGGAGACTTCGCCGGTCGGCTCTGTCCCATAGCTTGGTGGGCCAGTTAAGGGCCGTAACCGTTAGAGAACTGTTTGTCGGAAGAGCGCATTAAACATACGTTAAATTAGCGGAATGAGAAGGGAACCACGGCTCCGAGTGACCCATCTCGAGGGAGGTAATTTAACAGTTGAATTGTAATGTTACTGTACGGCTGACACTTTCGCACTGCACTTGAGTGTGAGCCAGCCAGTGAGGCGGTTTCAGGGCCGTTTTCGTTTCGGCTTTTTTTTGAAAAAGTCATGTTAGACCTCCAAAGCGGAGAAGAAATCTTAAAACGGGTTTTGGTGTGCATTCCGAACCCGGGGCTTCTTAAGGTTTTGAGCATGATCATGATGATGTCGCTGATGCCGTTGCTCGTGCCAAAGTCTTGGAGCTGGCTGTGTGCGGGAGTCATGAAGCACAAACATGCTACTCTTACAGTAGAAGCTGCAAAGAAAAAGTGCCAGTCGTCTGAAAATAATCAGGAGCTGGCGGATGGTGACTGGATCTTGTCCTCCCTGCCGCAGGCTGGCAGGCTGAGGGAGAGAGACTGGAATTGCCGGCGAGCCGCCAGGGCGCATGGCAGGAGCCATTTCTCCTGCCATGTGCCAAAAAAAATTGACAAAAAAATTGGACCCATTTGACCAAAATTTTTGGCCCAAAATGTGAATCACGTTGCAAACTGCTTCTCCTGTCCTCCAAATCTCGAAACCGGCCATTTTCGGACCTGCAGATGGAAATTTTCGGCAGAAGTCCGAAAAAAGCCGAAATCTGTGACACTTTTTCGTGGAATGAGTGATACCTATTGTATCCCAGTAAACAACACGCTCCGTGCACACAGACTCAATTGATGAGAGAAGGCAAGGTGTGCAAAGACCTGGTCAACGAGAATGCGGACCTCAAGAACCTGAAGAAGCAGATGGAAGACGAAATCAAGGAACAGCGACGATACAGTCAGCAGCTCATCGCCACGCAACAGCGCGCGTCGATGGCACTCTACAACGAGGAGAAAGCGAAGGCGCTCGAGGACAACAAGAGGCCTGCGCCCAGGGCGAAGCCCCTCCAAATGTATGCCCCCGTCTTTCTTCGTTTCTCTCCAGTCAACCATTACACCAAAGAGTGTAGGTACTGTGGTGCATTCGTTGTTGAAATGCTTGTGCTCAAGCATCCGAGTTGACTACCCCGTCTGAAAACGACAAAACCCCAATTCCCCACTCACACAGCATGGAGGGCTCCATTCTAGGGAAGAAGCGGTTCGACCCCCGTTAGGAGGCGTCTTGTCTTTTCTCCTCCTCTTTCGCCGCCCCTTGCGAAGCATCGTGCTGCCCGTTTCCGGGTTTCCGGGTCCGAAACGGCAGTTGGACGCCTTCTCCCGCTTTCTTGCGAGGTCTTTCCCTCCTATCTCAATGCACCCGCACTTGTCGACGGACGAAGTACAAAACAAGTACCGGTATGTGGCGACGTTCGTTCGTAGGCCAAGTACGTGTTGTGATTGACGGGTTGCGCCGTCTTTCTCAATGCCAACAGACCTGCTTTGTGGGTCTCGGCGCTCCTGTTGCACTCGTCGTCTTGAGAAAGGTGCTCAAGCAAACACGTTTTTCCGTGCGTGGGAAACGAAGGATCTAGTACGTAGCCGAGGGTTCTCGCGGATCCACCTGCTGCTCCTTCCAATGCATGTTGAGCATGGATTCAGCCCCTGGCTCTGTGCTGGGAAACAATGCAAAAAGAATTAGTGGAACAAAAATACAGCGACCGACATTCGAACGTGACAAGCGGCGCGGGGCTCTGGGCCCCCATGTGGCTGCTTGCGTGCTGACGGGACGTCTCATCACAGACTCCTGCGTCGGCAGCAAAAGAGAGCTTTCGCCTCGGAGTTTACGTTTTTTTTCATTATTAGCATTTGATGTTAACGGTCGGACTACCGGGAGCATTTGGAACAACGGTTGCACTTTATATGAAGTTAAACGACATCAGTGAGCTGCTGAGTTATTGATCGCCCGAAACGACATTAGTGAGCTGCTGGGTTATTGGTCGCCCGTTGTTTGTCAGTTCCGGAAATGTTCTTTTGCAGTTTCGGGTTCTCTCTCTTTTTCCCTGCGTTGTATTGGCTTCTTAGAGGGACATGACCGAGAAAAAGGAAAGCAAGAAGCGGGAAGGAGGTTCCGTCTACCCCTTCGTCATCGCTACGATTTTCAGTCGACCGACCGCTGCTGCCTGGTGCGTTGTGGCCCCAGCCACCATCCCTTTCATCGCTTCTTTTTTTGTTTTCTGTTCGGTTCTGTATGACCCCCACCCACGCCTAACACCTGCTCGTATTGTACTGCTTGCGTGTCCCACTGCGAGACCTTGTCCGCTAAAAGCCGAGTCCGAGCAAGTCTCGAATGCGAAGGCGAACCCTCAGGCCAAGAATTGATCTCCGAAGCTATGCAAACGGGAGGCCAGTCTCCATCCACGTACTTCAGTTGCTTCCCCGATGCCATTGCTTTTTTTTGATCCTCCGAGCCTTCCACCAACAGATGGAATTTCGAACGTTGCGAGAAACGTTGGTCTCAGAGCCCATCGGGCCAGAGCATTCTGACAGCAGTACGGGTAGTGTGAGAGGGACTGCCCTTTCTAGTCCCTGGTGTCTTCGGTTGTTCGATCGGCCTGTCGTGATGCCACCACTGGACCCGTGCTGTGTCATCACGACTCCCGTCGTAGCATCTTCAGAGTATGCCGTCGACGAAACTAAGAACGCCGCCAGCCGTGCCAACATTTTATTTGTCGCAGCCTCTCCGAGGAACGCTCGAGGATCACGGCAGCCCGCCCGACTGAAAGGGCCAATCCCCCACCCCAACATCCCCCTCCTGCAGACAAAAAGTGCTTCCTTTTCGTTTATATTTTTTCTGCCTTTTCGCTTCTGCTTCACGTTCTTCGGTCTCACAATGACAGTTGTGCTCGCAGGTGTTTCGCCTTTCGTGTGCGGGTACTGGGCCAATCAAGCGTCACAACTCGAAGTTTCCAGAAAGAATGAATGAATGAATGAAAAAACAAGTATTCGAGAGCGCAAACCAGCGAAACCGATGGATGAAAATTAGCAGACAAACTACTCAGTATGTGTACAGAGCACAGCGCCACCCTCGTGTGCCTGTCGAAGGATCAGTATCGGGCTGCTCGCGTCCTTCCGTCTTGCTCCCACCGAGCCCTGAATGCCCCAACTATTGACTCCAGGTCCCCTCTTCCACGTCTTTGTCGCAGGAAAACGGAACGGTCGTTCTCTCTCGGGGGTGCTCTGTTCTTCAACAAAACTACGCACTCTGTAATGTCGGTCTACCCCCATCACGGCATTCCTAAAGCGCTTCTATCCGTTTGATAGCTGCGATA